TTCTGAGTTTGCCATGAAAATCTTTCCTCCATGAACATCCTGTTGTTTTCATTTGTTGTTTCTCTTGTGGCCCGTGCAGAATGGAGAGTCTGGGACCAAAATCGAATTGCTGAGCCATTACAACACATGTGCGATACAGGTGAATCAGCTCGGGTTGGGATTCAATAACTGACACAGCTAGAGAATGTTGTTTATCCCCTGTCTTTCTTCTGGGAAGCCGGATGTTGGATGTTGTAGTCACATTCACATTTGATTTGTCTCTGTTCTTCTTTTCCTTTCTTTCTTTTTTCAAGCCAGAAACATCAGCATCTCTTTTGGGATCCTAACTATAAGTTGGTATGGAAATTTGTGCTTTTCTTCTGCTAGCTTGGTTGGTCCTAATAGCTCTTGTTTATCCAGCCCCACAATCACAGCTTCCAGAACACAGGTATGTAAACAACTGTCGCAGGGCACTTGGCACCTAGGTTTGGAGGTCATATGTTGAAGATTTGACAATGATTTTGTTCAGAGGGAACTCCAGTTCATATCTGGATCATTCCAGTAATGGTAGAAGACAAAAAGATCACAGTTATATATATTTTTTCTCTATCTGTATAGTATCTATATACCACTACATGGAGTATTGTTGTTGGGTTTTGTTTTGTGTGTGTATGTGTTTTTTTTTTTTAGTAAGCTGTCATGGTCTATTTCAACAAAAATCTACTTATTACTTGCCTGATAGGAGTTTAATGTTAATATTCTAGTCATGCAGCCTGTCGTAAGCTTCTGACTACCACAAGCAGAGAGAGTTAATGTTATCTTCCATGTAATACTCCTTTCTTAATGGTATCAATAATCCCATTCCCCAAATGTTTACTTTGGCAGCAGTAGCGAAGGAAAGGACTGTCCAGGATGGCCTCTAGCCCACTGTCTGCAGGGGGAAGGAAGGGGCTGTCCCATGCCTGCCAGGAAGCCACCAGATAGCTGTCTAAAGTACTGACATCAGACACTGCAGAGACAACAGAGACAGTAAAATGACCACTAACGGATCCTTAATCTGCTTCTAGCAACTTCCAGGGAAATAGGATAACTGAATAAAAACTAGACACAAGTCTTAGAATTTACAAGCAATAACTTAAAACATAGTAATAACCTACTTACTGGTAGTGCAATGTCTTCACAGTGTCTCAGTTGGGGGTGGAGTAAGGGTAGCAATGCCATTTGTTCTGAGATGAAACACTGATTCTTAATTTGGGGTGCACTGCTGGTTAAGTTACACTCTCGAAGAGGAGGAAGGTTCTGTAACTATGCACTAATGCCATCATTCTCCCCGCTGATCTCACTACCTGTTTGATAAGTAATCACTATGTTTTCGGTAACTATGCAACATCAAAGTGTGAATCCGCTATCTGCTTATTAGCTAGGTTGCTATTGATGACAATAATGATTTCATTTTCCCCCTCTATTGAGTACTTTATACTTAATCATATTAATTTTTAGCTTTAAGTGCAGAGATACTGAGGTAAAGGTGATTATATTAATTGGCCAAAGATATAGATCCAGTCTCAGATTTTATTTATTCTGATTTCGTATCACTAGTTTTCTTCTGTTCCATGACTTATTCACAAGGAAGTTACTGAAAATTTAAGGGGGGGGGGAAATCCAAGTATATTAAAATAATTATTTCTTCAGTGCTGTTCCTTTTTGATTGGTGATAATAATAACAATAACTTGCACTTGCTTGGCACTTGAGGATTGACTTTCACGTACACTTCGCACAGCTCCACACTTATAAGGTCATTACACCACTGGTCCCTGCTAAGGTCAGTCAGTGGTGCTCTGTCCACACCCCTCTGGTTCTTTTTGTATCTAGAAGTTTGATATCATGACGTTATATAGTATGAAGATGGCAAAAATGGTTCAGAAACACTCTTAAGACAACTTATTGATGATGGTCACACATATATGTAGCCTTTGATCCAAAGGAGCAGATTTTTTATTTGGACTTCAATCTAAGGAGGAATGAGCTTCTAGTCTGGTATTATTTACCAACTGATGCTATGTCCTGAAATTCCACTGAGATTAGTGGTCTTAAAGTATCACAGTACACCCCTGCACTTTACAGTACATGAAGCTAGAATATGGCTTAAGCGATGAGGGGGTGGCTCTGTAGTTCTAATTCAAGTGTCTAGATATTGGGGGGGATATTATAGTGCTTTTCCTTGCCACTGTGCTATCTGAAAGGTCCTAGGAGCGGCTGTGCCAGTGGTCAGCCTTTCAAGACTGGGCAGAATTCCATCAGGTCAGTGTTGGAAGTTCAATGAACAGTTTTCATGTGTGGCCCATTCTTGAGTAAATAATTAAATCTGCTCCACTACCAAGCTTGGAAATAAGGTACAATACTACTACTAATAAGGTACAAGAAGCCATGGGTAAGAACCCAGAAGCCTCCTTTCCCCATTTGTCTATGATGCTAAGCACAGTGGAATCAACCAAAAGATGTAGAAAGAAGCTCTGTGTGAGCTACACCCAGCATTCTCGAGGTCATTAAGGGTTCATTGTACTTTCTCCTGTAAAGCTGAAATACCAGTAGAGAGAAACAGGGTCCCAGTTACCATTGTGGGATCAACATGCAGATTCCATCACTTATTTCTTTGACAAGTATTCTTTTGCCAAAGATTTAAAAAAAGCATCTATAGCTATTGTACTACCAACAGGTCAAGCTTCACTACAAATGCCCTGTGTTTCTAAGATGCCAATGGCTATGCTCTTGGAATAACTGTAACCACTTCCACTGCTAGTGTTGTGAGCCTGGTCTTGGTCTTCAGGGTGTACCTACTGAGAGTGTCAGTAATGAGTTACAGAATATCCATAGACCATGATGCCAGCTGTCAGCCTGTGGGTAGGAAGAGTGGCAGTGGAATCTTGCATGTCATTTATGGGAAAGGAAGACTAAATCTCTACATGTGCATGAGCCTATGCCCATACTCACACACACACACACACACACACAGTGTAGGGTCACAGTGGATGGAAGGGCTAACAGGAATCAACAGCTGAGGGCTATAGCTTACATGATCAGGATTGGCATGTCAATGGCCTTCCCTTTGTAAAAGAAAACTAAATGTCACAAAGAAACTGCATGGCTAGTTCATCTGTTTACATATCCACTTATATGTTTGGCTAAACTGTTACTGAACACAGCATATTATTCTTGGGACAAAAGAGAGGGAAGGATAAAGGGAGGAAGGGAGAAATCTTATGTAATTAATATCTAAAAAAACCACCCAGGTTAAAAAAACTATAATTCAACAGTAGATGTGGCCTCTCTGGTATGCAAAACAGCTAACAGAAATGCTGAAAGGAGTTAGCAAGATAAACGATTAGCAAGATAGACCATTAAAACAACAACAGTGGGCTGGAGTTTACCTTAGTGGTAGAGCACTTGCCTAGTCCTGGGCTTGATTCCCAGAACCACAAAACAACCCAACCAACAAAGAAAAGCAAAACAAAACAAAGAGGCAGCAACAGCAAGAGACAAATAAGAGGGCTAGCAAGAAACAATCTCTTCCTGAAAGAGTGGAATACTTCTAGCATTACTATTTCAGAATTCTAGAAATAGTGTAATGCCATTCTAGAACTGTCCACCTTGTTTAATGATTCCCTCCTTCTTAGAAGACGAGGCCTAGTGCCGCACAAGAAAAATCTGCACAGAATGACAGCAATGTCTCATTACAAAGCCAAATCCAAGATGACAGCCATATGCAAATAACACACTTTTGTTTTACCCTAAACAGATGAAATATTCCACACAGTATCATTTAATTTCCCTCAGAAGTCAAAGACCTGGGAATGAGAAAAGTGATAAATGACACTTGTCACATTACAAATGTTACGGGTGGTCAGATTACGGAGCAATGAAAAAGTTGTTTGGTGCCTGATGCTACACTGAATCTTGCTGTTTCTAGGCTCTCTTGGGTGTACTAGGATAGTTGGTGTTTTTTTTTTTTAATCATAATTAACATGACCCAGTAAGAGGAAGCTTCTGACGAATCTATGTCCTCTTACCTTACCCACAGGTTCCTAAGGGCCCCACGTTCTTACAATGCTTCATTCTAAGGTGACTTCAGATCAGGCAGAAGGGACCTGGTAGGTCACTCCCCATCCTCCTCCTTCCAGCTAAGCTTTTTGTATCCCTATATCTGCAGCTGAGGTCTGTCACTGAGTGAGTCCTCAGCTCAATAAATCCCCAGATAATACTTCTACTCACTGTGTGGCATTGGGTGGCACTTGTTCTCCCTTCTTGCCCCCACCCCATACATACACCCGGGCACGTGGTCCGTCAGAACCCAGTTTATATGGATGTAAGAAGAAAACTCAGCAAAAGCTGTTATTTTCAGAAGCCCTCTTATCTCTCCAGAATGCCAACAATTTTGGCTTGGCATTCACGTCAACTCAAGCTCATTGTGTATTCAGGCAAAGCCACAGACACTGGGTTGGAAGGGATTTGCACCTTCAAGGAAGCCTGAATGTGGCCCAGACCAGCTACCTACCTAAACCAACAGCACCTGCATGCCCATTCAAACCAGTAGAGCGCCTCCTGTGTGCAGGTAGGAAAGATACCAGATCCCTTTTCATTTGGGGTAAGCTAAAATAAGAAAGGACCTGAACTAAATATGGTGTGTGTGTATTTGTGTGTGCGCGTGTGTGTGTGTGTGTGTGTGTGTGCGCACGCGCGCATGCGCATCATGTGTGTGTATACACACATGTGGCTTGCAATATACAGGTTTATATGGGTATTAATATTGGTTGGAAAAATCTGGCTTTTTATTGTCTGGTTTTTTTGTGGGTTTTTTTTTTTGCCAGTCTAAATTGGGTATGTCTGTTTTGGCAAGTTGTAGGCATCTCTCTTTTGTATTTGTCACCCAGACACTTTCTCAGACAAAAGAAAAGGAGAGAGATGTGGGAAGTCCCCTAGGAGAGGAATCTGCTCCCCAAACCTGGCACCACCCCTCTCCCAGGGGACCCTCTTCTGGGCTGGCTTCGCTCTTGGGCACTTGTGTGCCGCTGCCCCTCCCCACCCCTGTGAAGACCTGAGATTGAGCGTGGATTTCTGTTCTCCACCAACTGTGCAGCAAGGGCCCTGCCCGAGGCGTTGCTTCCTGTCATCTCCTCTTCCCGCTCCCAAGTAGAGGCACCTAAACAGAGATTAGATTTCTGGTTTCAAGGCATGTCGAACCAAGCACACTGAATGAACTTGAGTTAGCTAATTAGCTCTGTCTCTCTTCTTTCTGTTTCCTGGTTTGAAAGTTCCTTGATGACAAAGTGACCAGGAAAGAGTTGATTTGCATCTTAAGATCTATGGGTAACGCTTCTGGAGTGGGGAGTTTTATTTAGCAACTGCTTGAACTTGTGTATGGGGTCGGGAAGGAGGTGGAGCTGACCCCAATTGGGCTGTCGGAGAGTGGGGCGTGGGTGGTGCCCACGGCCACGCTGATGCCCCGGGCCTCCATCATGGCAGTCAGCAGCTGCTGCTGCTGCTGGCGCAGGGTGTCTGCGATGAGCAGGGGCAGGGAATTGAAGCTGGCTGTGAGGTGCTCCAGCTTAGACTCCAGGCTGCCAATCTGCTTCTCCAGGTCTTCACTCCGATCATTGAGTTCTGTGATTAAGTCATACATGACGTTCTGCATCTGTGTGAAGAAACACAGCCAGAGACAAGGAGAGAAAGGGTCATCACAGAGGAAGCCACTAGGTGAAAAGGAACCACCCTTCACACAGCAGAAATGCTCTTTACCCCAACTGTGTCTGATCTGGGCAAGGAAGGAAGTCTGGGAAACTTTCTAAGAGATAGAGAGGAAAGCTGAGGTGGGCATTTTATTCCTTTTTTTTTCCCTTCTATTTTGGTCAGCATTGGGGTTTGAACTCAGGACCTGGGCACTGTCCCTGTGCAATTTTGCTCAAGGCTAGCACTCTACCACTTTGAGCCACAGCTCCACTTCTGGTTTTCTGGTGGTTAATTGAAGACAACAGTCTCACAGACTTTCCTGCCCAGGCTGGCTTTGAACCATGATCCTCGGATCTCAGTCTCCTGAGTAGGAAGGATTACAGGCATTTCGACACCAGCACCAGGCTGGCATTTTATTCCTTAATGTAAAAGTAATAGTGAGTAGAGATTTTACGTTTTTATTTTTATCTTTTGGCAGGGCCTTACTGTTAGCGAGGCAGCTGCTATACCACTTGAGCCATACCTCCAACTTTTTTTGGCTCTGGCTATTTTTGAGATAGAGTCTCCCTTTTGTGCCTGGCTAGCCTGGACCTTGATTCTTCTACTTCTACTTCCTATGGTTGTTAGGGAAGCTGGGATAACAGGCTCATGCTACCGTGTACAGCTTTTTTCTGTTGAGATGGAGTCTCATTAACTTTTTGCTCAGGCTGGCCTCAAAGTGATCCTCCCAAACTCAGCCCCACTAGTAGGTAGCTTGAGAGATGTGAGCCTGTATACCTGGTTGAAATAACATCTTTTGTTGTTGTTTGTTTGTTTTCCTTAAGTGGAGTAAGTCTCTAAACAGTTTTCTAGTCTTATAGAGGCTGAGCGCTAAGCTTACCTGACTGCTGGTATCTAATGATTCAAGGGAAGACACTGAAGGGGAATGGCTAATACCACAGACTTAATTAGCAGGCCAGGGTTCAAGTGCAAGTCTACAGCTCACAAACAATGTGACCTCTGTCAAGCCACTTAATCTTTCCTAACCTTGGCTTCCTTATAAAATTGCAGTTAATAACTACATATAGTTCTAAGTTATTTCATTCCCACCCCTTGCTTTCAACATAGCAGCCAGAATATAAAATAATGAAAAACATAATTAACTCCTCCATCTCAGTGCTCAACCAGAAGGAGTTGCCTTGTGGATTCACATGGCTTCCTCTGCCTGGCCCAGGAGGGGATACACAGGTGCTATACACATTGCATCCATTTGGATGTGTGTGTGTGTGTGTGTGCATGCACACTGGTACTGAGGCTTGAACTTGGGACTTGGGTAGTATCTCTTAGTTTTTGTTTTGTTTTGTTTTTGCTCAGGACTGATGCGCCAGCACTTGAGCCATAGCTCTACTTCCAATTAATTGGGGATCAGAGTCTCTTGGACTTTTCTACCCAGGCTGGCTTCAAACCATGATCCTCTCAGTTTCTTGAGTAGCTACGATTACAGATGTGAGCCACTGGTGCCTGGCCCAGTTTGGACAATCTTCAAGGACCATTCCACCTGACAGGACTTGGTTGACTACCTCAGTTTAAACTCCCCTCTGAGCACTGCTGCTTCCCACACTCCAGACAGGTGCTGTCTCCAGATGCTCCTAATCACCTTCCAGCTCTCAACTGTCATGTGGCATTCTAGCCCCACTCCAGTATCACAGCTGCCCTTGTGTTAGTCTACATGGCAGCCATATTTCTCCCAGCAGATTAACCAATGCCAGGATGCCAGCTGTGTACATCAGACCTGGGATCAAGATTCACAAGAGCCCCACATTCCCAGGCATTCAGGAGTGAGGCTTCAGTGGTAGCAGGTTGGGCCTCTAGGGATCTGCTGGTGACCATCCCCCATCCCCAGTCTGATTTCATCTAAAATGGCAAGCGACTCCAGGAGGTTGTGAAAAACATCAGTGCTCCCTGGGCCCCAAGGAGCAGGAAACAAGGCGAGAGAAAAACAGAAGGTAAAAGAAGGAGGCAAAATCAGACAAGAGAGGGAGGTGTGTGTGAACATGTAGTGAAATCTTGCCAGCTGGAATTCACCAGACTGCACCAGGAGGAGCTGGCAGAGGTGGCATGAAGATAGCTTCTCTCTATCCGCTCTGCCACTGCCAGAGCAGAATGTTGTATGCTCAACACTCTCAAAGGAGAGTGACTTTCAAAGTGAAAGTCCTCCCCTCATTAATTAATATGCCCAGAGCCTCCTCAATGGTGCATTTTCTTCCCAGAATGTACAAACCTCAGATTCCTATAACTGGACCGCAGGGCACCCTCAAGAGCTCTGGACTCAACATCCTGGCTCCTGGATTTTGGGCCCAGTGCTGGGAATTGCCTGACCTTCAGATGATTGCTTTGTTCCTTTGGATCCTGGTTTCCTCATCTATATTCATTATCAGCTGTATCATTTGCAAAACCTTTACAATGGATGAAGCATTTTTACAGGTATTATCTGGTTGGATCACCTGAGCTTTTTTATATTTTGATTGAAGAAATGGAAACAGCTGGGCAAAGAGTCTAAGTCCTCCCTGCGCTGTCACCATGTAAGGTAGGTATTCAATATAGAAAGTACTATTTGGAGGCCATGTACCACCCAGGGTAGGGGTGAGAAGGTGGTTTAGGTGATTTAGGATGGAGAAGAAGAAGGAAAAGGGGGAGCTCCTGGTGTTTATTGCCTCTCCGTATCCTCCTGCTTGATGACAGGACACCAGGAGGATGGAGACTAACATGAAATATGCTAAGCTGCTGTCAGGACCCTGGGCATGTCTCCTGTAAGGAAAAGACAAAGACTTGATGGATGTCAGAGTTCACTTCTTATTCAGGTCTTAGGCATGTCTGTACTGTGGTTCTGCAGAATCTTCCCTTAACCCTTTCCTATCCACTCTCTCCCCGCCCCCCCCCAGTAGTAACTTGCAGCCCATATTAGGTGTGTCTTAATTCAGCACAAAAGTCATGAAACCATCTCTCTAATTCTTGGACTATGGATGGCACTGCAGAAAGGGAGGCTTGAAAGCTGAATTTATTTGATATTCCTAGGTTAACATCAGCTATGATGTGCCCTGCCAGGTGAGAAGAAAGATGGGAGATTTAGTAACTCCTAGAAAGAAATGTTCTGTGCAATGTCACTAGGCCATTCTTGCAGCTCATTCCTGAGTGTACCTGACTCTCTTCATGGCCATAGCTGATTGGCTCAAGGGTAGACACATGACACAAGTTGGCCAACCATCTTTTGAGAATTTGGAATTACGATCAAAAAGGTCTTCACCTGAGGCTAAAATAGTAATGTGTACTAAAATAGTAATGTGTACATGCCAAGTCTGCCATGGAGACAGGAAATAGGAGGGGAGAAATGAGAGGGAGAAGCCAGATACTGGTGGCTCACACCTATAACCCTAGCTACTCAGGAGGCTGAGCTCTGAGGATTGCAATTCAAAGCCAGCCCTCGCAGGAAAGTCTATCAGACTCTAGTCTTCAATTAACCACTAGAAAACCGGAAGTGGCTTTGTGGGTAAAAGTAGAGCGCTAGCCTTGAGTGAAATTGCTCAGGGGTAGTGCTCAGGTCCTGAGTTCAAGCCCTAAGACTGCCAAAAAGAGAGTTGGGTGGTGGAGATACTGAAGTAGACACATGAACAGGAGGGACCTGAGGATGTCACCTGAGTCCTTCCAAGGTCCCCTTCTAGCCAGTTCTTTCTGAAGTCTGACCACACACTTGCTTTGAGGCTCTGCCTACAATGAGACTCTGACATCTCTAGGATAAATTTCTCCATTTTTCAACTTAGTTCCGGTAGCTTTCTGATTCTAGAACCAGAGAGTATTAACCAACATACCCAAGATCCCATAGGGTCCTCTCCTGCATACCAGAGTCATGCGCACACCCACCATTCAGGGCTCCACTTTAACCCCCTCCAAAGGCACACCAGCCTGTGGGCTTCTCCCCAGCTGTGCCAAGCGTTTATTCCCTGATTGAATTCCTCACACGCTTAGGAGGTCCTTTCTTTGCCTTGATCCCACTATTGAATGAGGTGCCTATACAGGCCTAACAACCAGTAATTTCTGATTGCACCCTTTTTTTTTCCCCCTAAGGGTGCTTAATTTGCCTGAGGGAGTTTCTCTTGCTTTCCCCAGAGAACAGAGTTCCATTATGATAATTGACATCTGCTGGAATGTTCTGCCAGCCAGGCCCTGGGTTATACATTAGCTGGGCACTTTCTATCAGAAGGCAGGGAGGAGGGGGTGTTGGAGGGGACTCCATCTGCAATGCTGTCTACGCCCAGCTCTGCCCATAGTGTGACCTTTACCTCCTTCACTTTGGAGATGTTTAAGAGGAGTGAATTTCTTTTTAGTGTTTATGGCAATTCAAAATGTCAATGTAATATTGGACCTTAGGCCTTTGGATGTTCACAGGAGGCCTCTCCCTCTCCCTTACCCTCCCTCCCTCTCCCCACTCTCCCTCCCCCTCCCCCATCTCTCTCTCCCTAGTCACTGCCAGATTTCTGCCTCATGGAAAAATTAAAAACACAGCCAGAAAAAGTAGGTTGTAATGATTGGAATATGCAGGAAAATAAACTTCCTATTATAATAACAAACCAGAAAATGTTCTTAAGTGTAATCCAGGCCATCAACATGGCCATTATCACTATTTTGTCTGGCTAAAGATGCTTCACTACTGTATAGTTCATGTTCATCCTTAGGATCCCCTCAATATGCAGCTAATAAACAATATCACACTGAAAAATTTAGTTCCAAGTAAAAATAAACTTCATCTTGATCTATTTAACTTAAAAACAAATTGCAAATGGCAAAAAAACTTGAACCTTGATTTTTTGTTGTTGTTGTTGGTTATGGGGCTTGAACTCAGGCCCTGGTCACTGTCTCTGAGCTTTTCTGTTCAAGGATAGTGTTCTACCAATTTGAGCTTCAGCTCCACTTTGTGTTTTTTGAGTGGTTAATTGGAGATAAGAGTCTCACGGGGACTTTTCTGCCTGGGCTGGCTGTCAATTGTGATTCTTAGATCTCAGCCTCTTGAGTAGGATTACAGCCATTAGGTACCAGTACCCAGCTCTTGGTTTTCTTTCTTTTTTTTTTTTTAAGTGAAAGATGAATTGTTCCTTGCACAGGTCATTCCCTGAGCTGTACATTTTGGGTATAGTTAAAGATGCAACTGAAAAGTCTCAGTGCTAGCATCTTGGAACTTGAATATCTTTGGGTTCAGCCACTCACCTTGGAAAGGTCCACCAGCGTGTTAGCTTGGTCACTCAGCTTCCTCTGTTCCATCTTGACGCTCCTCAGTCTGTAGGGGAAGAATCGGAACAACCAAACCTTCCAAGTCCATGTTATGCTTCAGCCTCAGTGGCAGAGTCTACAGCCCTATCAGCACGAGGACTTTGAGCCAGGTAACAGCTGAGAGAGCTAAAGACTTGCCAGGCCCCAAGAAAGCACACTGTTGTCTCTGTGCATGCTCAGTCACTTTGGTTTCCTGACTTTTCTCAAATCATTGCTTTTGCTCTGCATGTGACTTCTCCCTAGAAAGCCTATCTCCAATCTTTCAGGGGATACCCAGACCTCCAGATCAGAATGCATAGTTTCATCCCTTGCTTTTCTATAGTATTTGAAAAAAAATCTTGCCAGATACTGGTATGACTGTAATCCTACCTACTCAGGAGGCTGAGATCTAAGGATTGTGGTTCAAAGCCAGCCAAGTGGACACATTTATGAGACTCTTATCTCCAATTAACCTCCCAAAAGCCCAAAGCGAAGCTCTGGCTCAAATGGTAGAGACCCAGCCTTCAGTGAAAAAGCTAAGGAATGGAACTCCAGTACAGCACAAAAACAAAACAAAAAATAACCTTATTCCTTTATCAGAGAAAGTATCAGTAGGTTGCAATGCGAGGAGTGTGCATGTATGCGTGCAACATGAGATCCTTTAGAGGATCTCACTCGAATTTTTATCCTCCATACCAGCCTTCCCACTGCCTGGGAGGTGCAGTACCTGAATGAACAGACTGGATCAGGCCTAGCTCCATCCTGATGCTTGTGGAGAGGAGCAGACTCCATTTCTTCTGTGCTTCTCAGGTATATTAGAAGAGGCTAACAGAGCTGCAGGGTTCCCCCTCCCCTACCATGCTTCTGATTTGGCCACCATGGCTGAACTGCTGTGGTACTCACTGGTGGATAGCCTGGAGGAACTTCCTCTGGTGTTTTCTGACTTTGGCATGGTCAATCTTCTTTAGCAGCTTTGTGTGTTTATAGATTAGCCACGTTTCCCGGAGGACATTGGCTGCAGCATTCTTGATCTAAGGAAAAAGAAACAAAGCTGGCTGCTATCAAGGGAACTTTTCTTAGGTTCATGTAATATGTTTTTCTTGGATGTGTGCTATAGTCTACCTCTTAAAAAAATAACTCTGTAGCGATCTATTTTCTTAATCAAGAGCATGGAACTTTGAGAACAGATGATTAAAACCTGTCTCTTATTAATCCTATACTAGATGCAGTAGACTGAAGCTTCGAGTTGAGAGGCGTTTCTTCTTTCCTTCTTAATTATTTCAACACTGCCTCTCTACTGCTGTTGCTGATGCTATATTTAGACAGGCTGCCTTGGCAAGACCTTGAAGACCGGGGTACCCTTTGAAAAGATAAATACGTGCCATTGCTGCCCTTGATTTCAGGACGCTGCACTTTACCTGAGATTTGCCTTTAGTGGACAAGTATAAGATGCTATTTTTTTTTTAATTTGGAGAGTAAACAGATTTCCTATGAGTTGGGGTCTATTTATTTTTATTTTTTTATTAATTTACTTTATTGTAATTATAGAGCTGGTGTACAGATTACAATTACATGAGTCAGGTAATGAGTACATTTCCAGTGTCTTGTGTTCCCTCATTCTCTCCCAGTCCCTCCCTCCCCAACTGGAGAATTTAAAGGGCCTCTTTAAAGGAAATGTTTTTCCTACTGATTGGAACTTCATGTATCAACAAGTCCATTGTTTCTTCTCCTAAATGGCCCAAACCCTTAACCCACCATAATTTTACATGTAAATGTAACTGACATAAAACTGAAATAATTTCAAAGTGATGTCTAGAAATCAGTGCAGATATTTAGGTGTGAAAGCAGAGCTGCCTTTTTCCCAAGGCTGGCTCCTTCTCCGTTCACTGCAGTCACACGTTTCCACATATGATGCTGTCATCTGTTGACATGGAAACCATCGATATCATCCAGCTCACGACTGAGCCGAGACATATCAATGGCATCCAGATGGCAGGGGACAAAGTTTTAATCCAAACACAGACATCTTCAGCAATTAGAAACAAGAGCAAGAGAAAACATTCCTTATTAAGCACAAGTGAAACAGATTTTTGATGAACCATCTCCGTTTCTGTCAGCTATGCAAATTGGCACAGGTCCTTGGGCCCCAGGCCCGGAAGTAAGCAGACCCGACTAGAAGCAATCAGGTTACTAACCAGAAAGAAGTTTAATAAAATTGGAGAGTACAGACCCACTTCTTCAGACTGACATCAACAGATGGGACGTTGTTAAAATACTGAGATGTGTGGGAAGGCCTAGGAAACATTGTTTTTGCAGACTGATAACTTTTGTGTGTGTGTATGTTTCAAAAATTTATTACTCAGGCTGGATTATATTTTTTCATTGGCGCTGAAGTGATTTTTTTTTTAAAAAAAGAACAGCTAAGTCTTCTCAGAGATGTCTAAGTGACGTAAATATTGCTTCCCTTGTTCAGTAAAAATCTACTGTGAAATAATTTTAAATGATTTCATTGCTCACCTCTGGTACTTTTCTGCCTAAAAGGGAGCAGGTGGTGGTGAGTGCAGGTTAGAGATGGCCTGTGTCTAGTGAGCGGGAATGGGGAAGGTAGGGAGAGGAAAGTCTCTAGGGCGCTGCCTAGGCCACCATGAACAGTGGCATTCTAACCAAAAATGGTGACGTTGTATGCAACCACCTAAAGATAGTAACAACAACAAAAACTTTTAAGAAGGCATGGAAGGAGGTCTTTCTTTCAGGAGAGACTGTATTGTTGCTGTTGTATTGTAGAGAAAGGGACAATTTGACACGTGATTTCCTCAGTTTCCCTGGGTGCTTACAGGACAGCCAGGTCTGCTCCATGCTTTACAGGGATTAGCAGGGCCCCAATTATTCACTGAAGTTTTAGGAATGAGGATAGAGCCACAGAGTGTGTCAAAACTCACAGACCTTTGACAATTGTCTTAGCATCCCAAATGGAACAATCATTTAGAATGAGGAAGCCTGTAGGTTCTGCTAATCATTAAGCATTGAGGAGCAAATGCTTAATTATCCATAGGATAGGGAAAGACATTCTTCCTTTAAGAATGGCTAAGAAGCCAAATGAAGGTGCTAAGGGGCCTGAGGGCAACAACCAGATGCCAGGCAGAGGTCTGAGTATATCCTATGCATACACTCATTGGATCTTCACAACCACCCTGTCCAAGAAGGGCTTTTATCATTCCCATTTTACAGATGAAGAAACTGAGATGTAGTCCAGGACCTTAAAGTTATCAGTGGCCAATGGAGTCAATGAGGATTTGAGTGTTATATAAGCTATCAAGTGCCAGACAGATATGTTATTATCATAATTCCAACTCAAGGCCCTTACTCAAAATAAGAGGAAACCACTTCACGCAAGTGGGATGTGAGGCCAAGTCTAACCAAGAGTCAGGCCCAAGAGATGCATAAAGGTTTGTATGGTGTCCAAAGGAAGGATGGGCTAGATTTCAGCTTTATACAAAATTATTTTCTGTTTCCCAGGGATCAAGGAATTGGAAAGGACATTTGAGAGAGAGATAAATTTTTAAAATCATCATAGCCCTTGCTTAGCAGTAGGACAGAACACAGAGTCTAGGTCTTGCACTTAACTCCAGCCCAAATGTAAGATAATGAAGTCACTGCACTGTCAGGGCAGCTGGGGGACAGCTGCATCATCTTTATGGGTTGGATCGGGAGGCCTTGCACATTCAGGAAAGTGATGTTAAATGCAAGCCTTTGTGCTGGCTGAAATTAATTGCCAGCAAACAGCCTGGCACAAAGCTAAGTAGATCAATATCTACAAGAGGGAAAAAATAGGCTTTTAACTGTACTATGGTCTCCAAGGTGGACAGCAAATGCTCTTGTGACCAGGGTCTACCTCCAGTTCACCTGGCTGATTGCTCTGAACATTGCCAGTTGATGGTGTGAGTCCTTTCTGGGGCCTACTGAGCCCCTACAGGGCTCCATACACCTTTCTCTAAAGGGTCCTTAGGTACCTTCTGAGTTCTTTTGGTGCACTGGGGCACCAGACCCCAAAAATGTTCCCAGGATGTTGGAATGGGGAGACAGGGTTTGAGACCGAAGCAGCAAACTAATAATGATTGTTTGATATTGGCCAGGATCACAGTGGCTTAGATGGCTATGAGATGGCTAGGTGAAGACCAGTTATGTGGAAGGAGAGATCTCTGGCTTTCAAAACCCACATGCACACATGAATGAATCACAAGCTTGAATCCACAAACTTTCTATCTCCTCAAGTCTATACTTTCACTCTAACTAGGGCCAGAGGCTGTCTCTGTGGCCTATGTAGTTTAGGAAGAACTCTAAGATGTCTAGGCCCAAGTAAGAAAGTGATCCAACAAAGATCTCACAAATAAGAGTGACAGCTGACATTTATCAAACGCTTGCCATGTGCCAGGCTCTGTGCTAAACACAAATGTCTGCATTATTTTATTAATCTCCAGAAAAAACTGACAAGTAGATGTATTATTAGCTCCATTTTAGATCTATTTCTGTTAAGATTCACTTCCCTTGCTTGTTCATTTGAAAAACATTTAATGAGCACCTATAATGGGGTCAGACATTTCCAGAGAGAATATGGGGACAAATAATCCAATGACCTTTTGTTTTCACATCACAATCATACTACTAATTATCTTCTTTCCTCAGTCTCCAGACTGCTGGGATTACAGGTATGCAACACCATGCCCAGAAAACTAGTAATATTCTTACCTTCATGGAATTTATAATCTTGTGAAGGAGATAGGTGTGTACTCTATAGTACAGTTTCAGATAATCAGTGCTTTATGGGAAAATAAAGCAGAGTATGAGCTAGTGTTATAATTGCTATTGATCTGTGAAGCGGGCTTGTTATATTGATTAAATGAGAATATGCTTACAACTTTCTAACACAATGTACCTCAATACATGGTGTTGTTAATATTATTCTCCCAATAAAGGTTCTTTCCCTCTTATCTTCCCAAATCCCAACAAAAGAACATGTGCAATGGAATAAACATGTCAGTTTGCCAGGCTCCTGGACACAGCATTTCATGTCCATTTACTCTGGCCATCTTTCTGCCAAGGAAATCTGCCCCTTGGTATTACAGATGGGTTGAGAGTTAATAAGGGGTTGAGGGTGGTGAAAAGAGCATCCATTTTGGGGCACTACATTGCTCCCAGATGCCACAAGGAGCTCTAGGAGAGAAAATCCAGGAGCCCCTCTGGCAGAAGAAATTATTAGAAATTGTTAGCCTAACCAATATGCTGCAGGAATCCTTCTCTGGGAACCATGTTCTGCCTGGAGGTTGGAGAAGGGAAGGGAAGAAGCCAGATCAGCTTGCTGTGTGTGACTTTAGTAACTTCAAGATGTCACGTCACTTGACTCAAGAAACCTATTCTACACAGGACTGGAGAAGGGAGTGGCTCCCCTTTTCCCATCTGCCTAACCCCCTCTTCCCTCATCATCACCCCCACATACTTCCTGCTGACTTCCTGAGGCTGCCCTCTCTTCATCACCCTGCTCACACCTCCCCTCCTTCCTTCCCTCCTTCTATTCCACATTTCCTGCCTCACTCAGAGGGAGAAGGGTTCCACCCCCATGGCTGGCAGGAAATTGGGGTGGAGAGGGAGGCAGAGAGGAGATGTATTTCTGTGGCTCCAAGTTGGAGTTTGAAGCTCTCCCCATAGCAACCTGGTAATGAACGGTAGGTAATTTCATAATACTGTTAATGTGATGCTTAGCTAGTTCAGTGTTAAACTGGCTCTTCTCTCCAGCATGCCTAGGACCCTAACCATCATGCCATGTTCCAAGTAACAGACAGCTCTGACAGACCTGTTGGGTTGTGGTTAAGAGCTGCCACTGGCTTGAGAAGGAACCACGCCCTGGGCAGCCTCCAGCTCAGTACACATACTCTTGGCTGGGGCACATGTGCATGTGCCACCCATCCCTCTCAACCTGAATGTTTTCATCCAGCAGAGACTTCCTCATCCCTGAGAAACCTTTTGGCTCCAACAGCATACTTCCATTGCTATGGTTGGAGAAAAGCTATGTCCAGTCTCTCTGGGACAGAGTCTTTGTGGGGAATGTCGTTTATAATCTCAGGAGAATTTGAATTCCTGCTTAGTGGATCATCCAATGAACTTTTACAGGATAAAGACTTATTCTAAGGATTCACTCATGCACTCAAGCCACTTGGGTCAGCAGTCCTTTTTCCTGATTTCTGTATCTGATCAAAAATAAAAGATTAATATTATTTTTTCCTACAAAGGATCTCTACTAAGAGTAAATCTTTGTCAGCTGAAAAACGTTTTTCTGAAATAAAAGCATGTCAAATAAAACTTTGACATACTTATAAAGTTTTCTTTAACACTATAGAGTAGCTACTAGGGGCTACTGAGGTTTCTGAGTACGGCAGTCATATGTCTAGAGCCACATCAGAGGCTAAGGAGAAGGAAAAGTGCCACATGAGTAAGTAATGAGGCAGCAGAGAAGGTGGCAAGCTCTTGTCATGGAAAATGGCAGCTTTAGGTATGGGTTGCAGGGACTGTGGAGAGCTCATTGTCTGTCTGCAAAAAACAACAACACCAACACCGAAACAAGGTGGATCAGGCTTGAAAACAGATTCCCCGCTGTGGGGTCAGAGCACAGAAGAGTCAGAGCTGGGGTGAAGTCTTTGGGCCTACACATTAGAGAAACAGTGATGTTGGCAGCGGACCAGAAAAGTCAGGAGAAGAAACTAGTTTAAGAAAGTTAGGGGTTTGAATTTTTGCTCATTGATTTCATGGGAAGTGAACATGAATAAGGTTTGGGGGTCATTAGACCCTTCAGCAAGGAGTCGGAGAGGTGATGGTGATCTAGTTGATTGAAAGGTCTGCCTGCTAGTTTGAATGGGGGAGTTAAGTGTGGTACACAAAACATCTGTCCATAGCACCTCTGAAGCCAGTGTGGCCATGGCAGCTCACCCTGCCATGCTCTCTGAAGGTGGTTGGTGACCAAAGATTAAGTATGAGGACAAGGTTTACTTCTTACCCATCTTGGTGCCCCTAGAGACATCAAGAAACAACACCTAAGGAGCATTCTCTGTGCTAAGCATATTCATTACATAAAACAGAAAGTTGACCACATAAAGATCTGGGTGGGAGAACAGCTGGAGCTCTGGGACCATGCCTACAGTCTTTCTGTGTCACTTCTATATCATTTAGTAGCCCAGAGGTTAGCAATAAGTGATAATTATAGAATAACAATGGCAGTGACACTGCAAAGTCAGTGTGGGAAGATCTGATCCCATTAAATACAGAAATGACGTTGCCACCAGGGTTGACAAGTTATACAAGAAGACAAGGCATGGGATTCAGCAAAGCCAGAAGTGAGCTTTCTCTCTGTGCTTTCTCCAGATCATCTCCCCTTCCCACAATTAGCTAAATGAATATAGTGCTGGCTGAAGAGGTGGAGTTGGTCTGGAGCAAAGTAGTAGGATGAATGAACACTAGAACAACAAAGTATTTTTATGATGCTGAATTCATATTTTTCTCTTTTTCCCTTAGATGTTTGAAGAATTAAGATGGTACATACTTGTAAGGGATTACTTTTTTGCTGTTAAAGCTACTAACTGTCCACTCCTAGGAGATTTGCAACATGCAATCAGCTCCGGAAGGAGCTTCCCCTACCCCCTCTCTCTGAGAAGCCATTGAAACCTCATGATTAGGCTAAGCTTAAGATCTCTTGACCCGTAAGCCATTCCAGATGGACACATGGGACATTTGGAGAGGACAGAGGATAGGTTAGAAGCCCTTGGGGAAGAAAGGTGGGCTTTCCTGTGAACAGGTCAAAATGAGCTCAAACCAGACCAGACCCAGGGTCAAACCCAGCTTCACTTCTATCAAGGTTATGTGAAAGAACCTTTGGAAGTCCCCATCCTGCCAGCTTTGAAAATCTTCTCAGTAAGAACCACCAGTGTTTTGTTGTTTATTTCTCTGAGAAAAGATACTAGACATTAAAGGGACATTTCAACAGATTTAAGTGTTCTCGGAAAAGTGAGATGTGATTCGATTAAGAAGGTACCTTGCATTCATGGCTGAGCAATAAATATTTGTGTATTTCATTTTCAATTCTACTTTTCCTAAAGTAAGTGGCCTTGAAGAAGATTTTAGAGAATTATTTTTGAAAGATTGAAATTAGCATCCACAATCTCATCTCCTTCTACAATTATATTGCAGGAAAAAAATTGTTTATTTTCCTGGCAAACGAGGGAGCTGGCTTTTCTTGGCTTTATTTTCCTCTAGTGTCTGATTTACTGGGTGAAAAATGGAGAGGACAAAGGAATAACATGAAATACAAAGTATATTCTTAGCTTTAAAAAGCAAACCAGAATAAATAGAGCCTGTTAATGTTTCTGTTCTTGGTAAACAACTTTTGGAGGCAAAAATCTCTTGCCCTTTGCTACTGCATGCAGTTTCAAACCAGTGAGACATCACTAAATTGTTTCAGGAAAATAACTGCAAGTGTGTCCCCAATAACTTTAGAAGTTCCTTTGGTGCCAAGGATGACTTTAGCAATGGTATTGGGGCAGAAGGGGTGTACAGGAGAAGGGTCTGGCTATAGGATGAGACTCAGTAGGGTGACCATGTCAAACACTGCCTGCCATCTTGATGCTTCAAATCATCAAATCATCTATAGCTGATGGCTTAGGGCCATGGTGTACCTCATTCAACCATTTATATGTCAACAAGTTAGGCATATTTCCTTGTACCTGGTCCTTTCTGTATCTGTGGCAACTCTTTAAAGAACTCACTAAATGTAATCAAAGACCAAACAATCAAACACCATAAATAATTCTGCTGAGAAATCAGAGAGGCCTTGGCAACTGCACATTCTCCCACTGCCTTCCCAGAGAGCTCACATACCACTTTGTCATTCTCTCTCTCCCTCTCTCTCTCTTTGTTCTCCCTTCCTGCCTTTGTCTCTATTTCTAACACATTTTTTTTAAAAAAACTGCTTTGCAACATTAATCACAGAATATTTTCTCCAGCTTTCAAAAACCCAATTGGAAATGTGGGCTGGCTTGTGGATCCCTTACTTTGCCTAAGTTCTAAATGAGAGAAAGGCCCAGACCTTCTACCTGAAGCTTTGGTTCTCTGTTGGAAAGAAGAAAGTCTTGGAGGAAACCAGATTCCTGACCTCCATCCAGGCTGCTGTTCTAGAGAATCTTCCACAGAAGCTGTCATTGAAGAAAGAGCTCCTGCCTAGATCATTCATCTGTTGTTATCCTTGGAAGGCTCATTCCTGTCTCTTTTAAATGAGCCTTTGCTTTTCTGACAATTCAGTGGGGTGTCTGATTTTTAGCAGCTACATGAGCTCCCCATTCCTTCATATTTTCAGTGTTTCATCCTCCTTAACCACTTTCATAAGTGTACAAGTGAGAAACATTATCCAAAACACCCAAAAGGGGAAAATTGGATGATGACATTTTGATGAACAATAATATTTAGGAATGTGGGCTCGACTGGAACGATCATTTTAAATGATATTTTTTCCAACAAAAAGGATTCGATGTAGATATTTTTCCAATATAGTTTTAAGACTCTCTACTGCCCTTCCTGACAAGAATCATGAAAATATTTGAGCATAAACAAAATTGTTGCATCATGTTGTGTGATTTATTGAGCATCATTAGGCCCAGGGGTGGGTTATACCATTGTATGCCACTGGTTAATTACCAGGAAAATTATTTGGATGTCTGAACCATGCATTGTGATTTAATGGAAGACAGGAACCCATTGTGGTAAGATGTTAATTATGTGGAGGTTATTTGCCTGAGCCCGAGACTCCCTTAACACTCCATTTGAAGACACAGCCCTAATCCATGCTATGTAACTATTTTCTTCTGTCTTCTATTTTGGTTGTAAGTCCCCTGAGAAGACATGGATATGTGACATCTTACCCGTTTGGTGAGTTGAGTGTCCATCATGAAATTGTGGACATGCTTCTCTGCTTTGGTGAGTTCCAGCTTTCGGGCCACCACGGCTACCACAAGGGCAGTGCAACCCGCACCCTGTGGGAGGAAATCAGGACATCAGTAAGAGGCAAGATGTAATATTCAAGGTGCCCCATGACCACTGTGGACATTTCCTGGGAATGGTATAAGGACTTGAGCTCTCTGGCTGGTCACTAAAAGCCATAAATCCTGTCAAAACCTGTTTGGGGGTTGGGGGTGAGATGTATTTAGTGGTAGAGGCTTGCCTAGCATGCATAAGTTCTTTTTTTTTATTTCATCTCTACACTTTAGAGAAAGAGAGAGAGAGAAGCCCTGTGTGGGGTCTTCATCCAAGAAGAGGCCTGCAATGCCTCTTAGCTTGGGCTCTGCAATAGATCTTTGAGAGACGGAGTCTTCATAGAGCTAGCCAGTCCTTAATGCTGCGTGGGCTGAGCCTCTGGGGAATTAAATCAAAGGAAAAATCACCAGGCCCTTGACAGGTTGTGCAGTGTGCTATGAGACAGAAGATTTGCATGTCCCAAACCCATGGCTGGCTCCAGCCCAGGGAGCCCAGGAAGAAAAAAAGACCATGCACAGACCACAGTATGGACACAACACCTACTGACACTCAATTATTTTCGTGAATAACTAAAGAGGTTATGTATTCTCCCCCAAACTGCCTCAGAGAATGAACACTGGGGGCACCCCAGGGAGGTGTTGCCCCACAGCTGGGTCTCTCCACTTGGAGGTCTGGGCTGTGACTCAGCACGGGAGATTGGCTCATTCCTGCTTTCACAAGGAGCTGCCATCATGCAGAGATTTTTTTTGTTTTTTAAAGATGACAATACTTATGCCTAAAAGCAGAATTTAAGTGATTCTATAAATGAATCTTGGGCTTTTCCGGAATAATGTTCCTAGGCTGCTCTGGTAGGGTAGATCCCTTACAAGAGATCACTGCAGAAGTTGTGCAAAGAGGCAGACTGGTACTGAACCACAGAACAGCAGGGTACCATCTCTCTGAATCCTTTAGATGCACACTTGACTTCTTGGAAATGAAGGGGGAAAGGGGAGTGTAGCATTCCAACACTCTCTAGGTGGGTTTATAACTCCCCCCTTCCCCAATGCTCAGTTAGTCTACAAGCACTGGGAAGAAAGATTCACTCTCCCTGGTTCTCCCATGGGTGGTGGAAACCTGACTATCCTTGGCAAGAGAGGACCCTCTCCCAAGACCCCTGCCTTCCCACTGCACCAGGACTTATGGAGCGAAATGGTGGATTTATCAAAGCCATCAGTATAGTCTGATCAGTGCCAAACAGTAGCCACAGTTTTAACTGTAAAATACAAAGCCTAGTACAGCAGTTTGCGGCCCCTGGATTGAAGAAGAAATCCATCAATTACAGTTATGGCTCATTGGGTTTACAAAATATGTGAGAAATGGGCAAGACTATTTCTTAAAGGGACTTCTAATTACAGCAAAGTTCGGAGGGATGCATGGGAGCAGATCACTTCCCTGCTTTCTACATTCTCTCCATGGCTTTCATGGCTGACAAAGGCTAATGTGTGTGTGAGGTTTGCATAGCTGAAGTGGACAATACTTTCTTCTAGTCACAGCAATACAATTGGTTGTTGCTTGGTACACTGGGGCAGCTGCCCATTCCAAACACAGCAAAGTGCAAAGCATTGAGCTCTCCTTTTCTGACCTCATTTTTCTCTTTTGTTTGGGGACGTCTGTGTTTTCTTGGCATCTATGTCTTGCAGGAGCCTCTGTATCCAATTTTCAGAGGATATAGACAGTTGGACAGCCTGGTTTGTAGCTATAATCAATTTAGCAAGGCCTCCAAAAGCAAAAAATAGCTTAAAAGGAGCTGTCCTGGAGGGAGCATCCTGTCCCCCTACCAGACCCAGTAGCTTCCCTGGTTTTTTTTTTTTTTTAAATAATGGAGTACCAAAAGTATTTTGAGCTGAAAGTCCAAAAAGAGGGAAATATCAGAGTGTTAAAAATGGAACATCAGATGGAGAGGATTCTCCCCAGGCTCTGTTTTCCTCCTTTCCCCAGATCCAGATAAAACTCCACTTAGATCACCCCTGCAAGTTGTGGGGTTCAGCAGTTAAAGAAGGCACCTCCCTGTTTACCATGCCACCTGAGAACTTCATAAAATCAGTCATCTACGATCCTACATTTCTAGGGTCTAGATGCAATACCTATGGTTCTAGTCATGGTCCACAGCCCTATTGGCAGAATGCAGAAGACCCCTAGTTGAAAGCGAGTGTTCTAACTAAAGAATTGTCTTATATGAGGGAAAAAAAACTCTCTGTCTTACATGAAGAAAATTCATTTTCACACGGAGGCAGGAAGGTAGACCAGATCCCATTGCCCAATTCCTCTTAAGTTAAAAATGTCAAGAGCTGGGCACCAGTGGCTCATGCCTATAATCCTAGCTACTCAAGAGGCTGAGATCTGAGGATCATGGTTCCAAGCCAGCCCGGGCAGGAAAGGCCATGAGACTCTTGTCTCCAATAAACCACTAGAAAACCAGAAGTGGTGCTGTAGCACTCACCTTGAGCTGAAGAGCTGAGGGACAGCGCCCAGGCCCAGAGTTCAAGCCCCATGACCGCAAAAAAAAAAAAAAAAAAAAAAGTCGAGAGTTCCCTTGCAGATATTTCTCTGGAAGATTCTGCTTTCTTAACTCCCAATTAAAACTTGAATAGGGAGAAAAGTGGCTTCTCTCAAATTTTATTTTCTTCTTAGATAACTCATTATCTGGATATAATTAAGGAGGTCATTGACAATAATGCCTAACCTGGTTATTTCCTCTAAAAGATGAGCTCCTCATGAAGACAAGGTCAAACTCAACTACCTTCAAAAGTAGTGGACACAGTGCTGAGACCAGCATGCGTGAAGGGGGACAGTGTGGGGAGAGAAGGAAATGAGAAGAGAGAAGGGGAAAGAAGGGAAGATGAAGAAATAAGATGAAAAGCAAGGGGGAAGAAAAGGAAGAGAGGAGGGTGCAGGGATGGAGAATGAGGTAGGGATCAGGTTGTGCTCCATCAGAGAAAAGATGTGGCTATGGAGAGAGAAAAAAAATTCAAAAAGGATGAGTTGTTGAGTGTGAGGAAGGAAGGAGGGAAGGGAAGGGGAAAAAAGGAAAGGGAAGGAAAGGAAAGGGAGAAGGAAGGAAAGATGGAAAGAAGGAAGGAGGGAGGGAGGGAGACTAAATAAGGAGCCCAAGATCTGAGTCCAAAGTGAATGGTCAATTTGAGCTCTTTAGAGAAAATACAGGAACTACCAGGTTCAGCCTTCAGTAGTGTTAGACTTATTCGTCATTTTTGTTCCCTTGGGATGGTGGGTCTGTCCACATTTCTTTGGTAAGCATGTCTGCCAAGACAGTATTGTTGCCTGAGAGAGCTCGTGTGATATGACCGTGATGAACTCTGGCTTTAGGAAACCAATTTCCAAGGTCCTGGTTCATTGCAGCCTGGGGTAGCTCATGCTATCCTAGTGTAGAATCTCAGCCATGGCCAGGGATGGGGGGGAGAGGATGGGGTGGGATAGGACAGGGCAACAGCTGCTGGTGTGATGACTTCTATGGGGTCAGATTGAGGAGCAAATCCAAGACTCAGGCTTTTGCCTTTAGATGTACCAAGTCTTCAATCACAGGTGACAACCACTGGAATCCCAGGGTCTGCTCTGCCCATTGCCTGTTCCCTCGGGGGGTGGGGGCACAAAGTTTACCTCCAATGAGGTCAAACTTTCCAAGGTTCATGGGTGGGCAAGGGGGTACTGAAGAAGGAAAGACGGATATCTTAGTGGGAGTGAACATGCCTAAGTCATCAACTGACTTGGACCCGAATCTGGACCCTGACTCCTCCACACCAGGCCTCCCACTTCTTGTTTCCAAGAAACAGGTTCCAGCTGGAAACTCTTAGGAGCTGGAAAAACAAGAAGCCCAGGGGGAAAAGGATGAGGTGTTCTTAACTAAAGAAGCATAAAATGAAATAAAACATAAATGAAAGTGACAAATGGAGGAGGGAAGCCTGGAGGGTTTACAGTTGGATTCTGTTGTTGCGACAGATTCCACGTAACCACTAAAATAACATCATCTGGTTTGAAACCAAGGTGTTTTCGGGAGAGGCACATCTAAAATTGACATTAAGCAGATGTCTTGCGGAGCCCTCTTGGTGCACCTCCTAAAATGACTCAATCTGGGCTACCTTTTACTTCATCTTCAGCTTCCTGCTGCAACTCTGAGAGGATCTCTCATGAGGCCATTAGGAAAAACAAAAAGCTCAGCATCCCAGCAGACCCCCCTGGGAGCTTTGCCCAGTTGTCCATGACTCATATAAGGGTCCTGGAGGGCATCCAGCTTTGAAAAGTGGTGACACCAAAACAAAGATACCACCAAACAAATTCACGACTCTAAGGGTGTTCTAGATGCCTACAGAGTTTCCAATCATTTCCGATTCTGGTACTGAAGACTGACAGCTATCCCTTTCCTGCATGTAACATCCTGAATGGAAGGACACTGGACTTGGGTGAATCTGCATTAGTGAGTGAACTCTCTCAAACAATCCAGGTCTGTGCCAGCAGTGCCAAGTTGGCCAGGCAATTATATACCCTGCCTAATGGTTGATAATTACACCGTTACAGAGATTGCCAAGAGAAAACAATGATTAAGACCATTTACAGCGGGCACATGCAAATCCTTCCTTTCCCTTCTCCTGCAGGCCCTGCCTTGGCCTTCATGGTGTCCATGGTAACCACATAAGGAGCTCTACCTTGAGTCAAGGCACTTGCAATACTAATCTGGAGATACACATAGTGTTTTAGGGAACGGGGAGATCCTCAGCAACATGAACCCCTTGAAAGGAGTGACTCAGCTGCAAAGTCACGTTGGATAGAGAAAAAAAAAACAACACCAGGGTTTCAGAGTGAGCGGGACTTTAGTTTGGGTAAACACACTGACAATGAATTAGAGGAAAACCCTCTCTGTGGCTGTGTGCTCAAAGGTATGTATTCGTGCAATGGGAGCTTTCTACAAAAGGAACAGATGAAAGACCTGTGCTAGATTTTTAATGTGGGAGGTGGGTATCACTTCCCTCACCTGCTTGTTCTTTTCCCCTTTGATCCCATCTCAATCTACAAGGAGCAAACACTCTCTTCCAAAGAGCCCTGGGGATCTGGGCAGGGGCCGGGGGAGGGGGGGTGGCAAACAGAGCGGCTTACTGATGCCCACTCCCCAGGGGATGCTGGGGGTTCCACTACACTTTGTCAGAGTAGAAGCCAGGAGATGCAGAGTCAGGAACCAGGAAAATGGTGGGCACGGGCAGCTTCTTGGATGGGGCACAGACGCCATGCTGAGAAGGAGAATGGCTGGTATTTAAAAATAACAGAGGCTCCCAGCAGGGCCCGTCCATCTATTGGCAGCCAGGCTCTAAGCAGCCCTGCCCAAGAGCTGGTTCTAAGGCACAAAGCCCACACCCCAGGAGTAACTCAGAAGGAAAGCTTTGGCCTTCAGGTGGCATTTTATTCCTTTCTGGTAAGAAGATTCTTTCCCTGGTTTCCTGGTGACAGTTGGAGCTGTGCCAGACAGACTCCTACTAAACGATGGGAGGTGTTGGTTCCAAAGCCTTACACTTACCCATGATTTATCCCAGCTCCTGTGCTAAGCCTCTTGTCATTATTGGCTGTTTCAGGGCCACCTGCTAATGTGGGGACTGCCCTGGATTTGAGTCAGGAAAGAGAGAAGAGCAGTGTTCATATAGCCCACTGTCCCGAGGCCTTCTTTCCTGCCAGTGGTCCACGGCTGACTGCTCTGTCCACCAAGTCAACCTGAGAGGCAACCAAGGCTAAATAGGACAGAGAGTTCTAGCCCAGGTTGGCATTTAACTGAGGTCCTCTTTTCTCCTGCAGACAGGAATCAAAGAAAAGAGGGTCTGTCATGGCTGACAGGAGGACCAAAGTGGGAGGGAGCTCTGAAGGAAGGACTTCATAGCCTCAAGATGGGGCACAGAGGGGGGCTGCCCTGGGGAGGGCTGTGGCGTTCACTCATGGAACCCTACACCCAAGTCCCAAAATACCCTATCCATGCCATGCACTCACCCCTGCTGCCAGCCTCGTGTCTCCTTCTCCCTAGACTTAGATGTGTGGCTTCCTCTTCCAGCCTTTACTCCTCTTCCGAAAAGAGGGTCTCTGGGGCTCTGATGCTGTGACTCTGAGGAGCAGTGTGGTCTCTAGCCCTCAAAATGCAGCAGAACCACTAGAGTCTTTCTAAGTCATAAGCAGGAGCTGCTGAGGCTGGGGACCCCATGGCCATGGCCAACATTGGCCTCAGGTATGGACTCTCATTGCTTACCAAGCACTTTCACATCAGTCACTTCCTGTAGGCTCAACCACAAGCCAGCCAGGACAGTTCCACCGTATACTGGAGGGGGCAAGGCTCCACAGGCAAGCACCTGGCTCAGGGGTCACAATGAGGGACCTGAGTGGAAATTCAGGCGATGCTTTTGACACCCTGCCCCCATACCATACTTCAGTGGTCCTGTGATGGGCAGGAGTATGCACCTTCCAGAGCTGGTGCTGGGTCCTGGGGCGAGCTGAGCTATAGGCATTGGAAGGATGCAGGATCCCTATAAGGCACCTGGGGATGGAGTTGGTCTTGTCAGGTTCCAGTGCTGCAAAGGACTTGGCACTCAGAGTTCAGGACCTCACTTACAGTGGTATGGAAGCCACAACCTGGGAAAGTCAAGAGCTGGCCAGAGCTGTGTAGCCAAACCAAGACATAAGCCAGTGGCCAATGTCTAGGACACTGGTCCCTTCAGGCTGGTTAATTGTTCTTTCTCTAGTCACTCTGTGAGTTTCAGATGACTTTGATCAGAAATAGTGTTAAAGTCTGCAGGACCCAGGGAACAGGAAGGAAACAAGTCGACCACAAGTCTTAATGCTCATGAGAGATGATTAGAAGGTCAGTCTTCCTGAGCTCATTTGTGAATGGACTCAAGTTAATCACAGGTGTTAACAACCAGGACCTTCTTCCTCCTTTAGCAAAGTAAGCTGCAAAATGAGAAACCACTGAACATTTTACATCTGCTTCTACGTGCAAGGGGGTATGCATGCAGGCCTCTTAACTAGGGGCTGTAGCCCTGCAGCCCAGCTAGGAAGGCCTATTCTGTGTTCAGTAAAAGGCTCTGTTCTTTGGAAGAACTTGGGGGTAGTAGGGTCACGTGCAGAGGCAAGTACTCACCATGATGCCAGTGAGAAGACAGACACCTTTCCCACAGTATGTGTGGGGCACCATATCCCCATAACCAATGGAAAGGAATGTGATGGAGATGAGCCACATGGCACCCAGAAAGTTACTAGTTACGTCCTGTTGGTCATGGTACCTGCCAAGGGGAAGACAGGAGTTAGTTGATTCAGCTGCCATGGCCGGGGGTATTGGCTGTGGACAAACCTGGATGGGGAGGGGGGAAGAAATGAGATATTTTACTGAAGAGAGGATAGCCATCATGGTGGCACACACCGATCTTGTTAAAGATGCCACTGAAGATGACATAGCCATGCCCACCCAGAGCTGCCTGCAGATTACCAGCCTCCAGGCCCCCACTATGAGCTGGGCTCCAGAGACAAAATGTTTTCTCATGATTCACATCACATTGTAGACATCCTTTATTGTTGCTAAGATAGCTTTGGATGAAATCATGCAGTAATAAAATTTAAATTTTTTTTCTTCCAAGCCGACAGTCTAAATGTATGTGGATATGATTAATCTAAAAACCACAAACTCTTGAACAGGGAAAATGTAAAAAAAAAATTAGTCCCCAAACAGCTAGTGATTTCTAAGAACGTTGATGGATGCCAGGGCGGGTACCTCTCTCAGAGATGTGGGGCTCTCTGGGAGCCAATTCTCCAGGCACTAGCGTTCCAGGGGTATCCACAGAAGCCTAGCACCCCTTCTGAACTGGACAGATGCTCTTCTCTGCTCTTCTCTGACCTGGGAGCATCATCCCTACTTTCTCTGCCTGGAGGCCCATTCTACTTCATCTCCTAGCCTGGGGCTTTCAGTCCTGGAGGATGTTCCTTGGAAGAAGCAGACATGTTCTGAAAGCTAAGGAATTGGGTAGATGGGGCAACTTGGGGAAAGGAGAGGGTAATGACCTTGACCTAAATATACCAGGCTTAGTCAGAGTTAGCCTACTATGAGATCCTTTCCACAAACTCATGTGTTGCTCAGGTGATGGTGGAGAGAAGTGGTGCCTTTAAGGAGTAATGAAGCCATAGGGGCTCCTTTCTCAAGAATGAGATTCAGGCTTTTTTTTCAAAGCAGGATGATGTAGCAGCCTGTTTTGCCTGCCCTTCTGCCTTCCACCATGTGAGGACACACACTCCTCTCCTCTAGAGGATGCCATCTCGGAAGCAGAGGACAGCCCTCACTAGATACCCATCCTGCTGGTACCTTGATCTTGGACTTCCATCCTCTTGAACCGTGAGAAAGAAATTTCTTTTCTTTATACGCTACCAGACTGTTTTGTTCTGTGATGGCGGCACAAGCAGACTAAGATAGCTCCACAAAGGAGCCAGGCTTGATTCTCCCCACCCAGTTCCTGGAACTTGGTCCTTGTCCAGGGAAGGGGTGCTCAGCTGGGAGTGAGCTGAATCAAAGCCCAGATTTCAACATGAAGGGCAGCAGAACCGTCTGACTGCAGGCTGGAGTGAGAGGACTAGTGAAAGAGGGCCTGTTTCCAGAACATTCTCTGACTGTATGAACTTGAGCCGCACACACTAGACTGCATTCAATCCCATGGGCAAACCACTCCTTGATAAAATTTCCCAGTCACTTGAAGGTCACTGGGTGGAGAAGTTGAGCTAGCTCAAGAAGCACTGACTACCACCAAAAGTGTTTGTTGTGCCCTCAATGTCTAGTGACCCATAAGTCTACAGGAAATAGCCATGCAAACCAGGTCCATTTGAAGGTGGGTCTTGAGATATGTTTCTATTTAGAAGTGAGGGTCAAAGCAGGCCGGGCATGGTGGATCATACCTGTAATTCCAGCTACTTGGGAGGTAGGACTGTGGTTTGAGGTCAGCCTAGGCAAAAGGCTAGCAAGACCCTATCTCAAAGAACAATCAGTTCATGGTAACAATACTCCTAGTGTTAGCTATGTTGGAGGCTGCTCACAGCATGACCCAGGCAAAAGCATGAGATACAATCTGAAAAAATAACTAGAGCAAAAAGGACTGAGGGGGCATGGGGGAGGGGGCGCTGGGAAGGTGGCTAGAGTGGTAGAGTGATAGAGTGGTAGAGTGCTTGCCTCACATGTATGAGGCCCTGGGTTCGATTCCTCAGCACCACATAAGCAGAAAAAGCCAGAAGTGGCACTGTGATTCACCGTGGTAGAGCGCTAGCCTTGAGCTGAAGAGCTCAGGGACAGCACCCAGGCCCAGAATTCAGGCCCCATGACTGGAAAACAACAACAAAAAAAGGACTAGGGGCATGGCTCAAGTGATTCAAATAGTAGAGTGCCTGCCTAGCAAGCAGAAGGCCCTAAGTCCAAATCCCAATACTGTCAAAAATAAAAATTAAATCAAATAAAAGGAGTAATAACAAGAACAAAAGGGGCATCTATATTATGGAGCACCATTTATGTGTGGCTGGCACTTTGAACACACATTGTACAGGGAAGCAACTGCAAGCACAAAGAAATGGAGTGACTTTCCCTAAGACATACAGACTACGCTCCTTTTACTGCGCCATTCAGTGTGAGACAGGCACAGTGACTAGCATGTTTCTAGGAGAATGACAAAGCCCCTTAGTACCATTAGCAGGGAGAACATGTTTGGATGCTATAGAACCTGCAGTTCTAGGATCAGACATTTGTATTTGGTTTTGGAGAGCTTGAAAGTGGTTTTAGCTTCCTGGGCAGAGGGGGATGACATGACACAGCTTACTGGGAAGAATGGTCTGTGCTGAGCAGATGGAACACAGAGGCAGTGAAAAGATCGAACACAGGTTGGGGAGGCAGGAGAGAAGCAGGTGGGCAAGGCTAAGGGGAAGGCCTATTACCACCTGAGCCCAACCCTGCATCATCATTGGGCTGTCCAGCCTCAACTTGAGTCTTCAACAAGCAACAATGGGGCAGCATTGGTATTTCTATTATGGTCAGCACACAGGACTGCCTGGCTCTTTTGGGGGCAGCTGAAGAGCATCGTTCCTTCTCCAAAGTGCTACTGAGAAGATGGCATTTATTTCCCATTACTCCCTGCTTCACATGGGCCTTGGCCTTGCTCTGCTGCCACCTCAGGGCCCTGGCTGGCTTCTATTTTCCCTTCCCTATGCACCTCCTCTCCCCAGAGATGGCCCATGTCTGCTTTTCTGGCTATCCTTAAGAAGCAGAGGCCAGGACAACTCTATTTGGACCCCCCAGGATTGAGCCTGCTCCTGAATCAGTGTACCAGCCCTATTCCAGGTCTGACATAACCTTGGACAGGCAGCTGCCCACTGTCCTGCCCTGCCAGGCCCTCGGGCCCACATGCTGTAAGGAATGGTAGCAGGTCCTGGCTCTACGGCTCTGTGCTGTGAAATCAGGCAAGACTCAGTGTTGAGGGTAGGAGGGGGACACACAGAAGGGAAAAGACTTAGAAGACAGCCCACACCACAAGCCAGCAGCATGTAAACAAATGTCACAGAGCCATAGCCAGGGTCAGCCAGCATTTGACGGAAGGAGCATTTCCTGGGAGAATGAGTGTGGGTCAGGTCTGAGGACACTGAGATTTATTAGTGAGGAGTGAGTCATTGAGACTGAGTGGCTTTGCTAGGTTCCAGTCCCAGTTCTACTGTAAGTAGTTCCATGGCTCTGGACAAGAGACTAACCCCCTCTATGACTCAGTTTCCCTGTCTGCTGATGGGATGATTAAGTAAAATAACCACGAGCAATTTTAGGCCAATGTAAGAGCTTAGCCTGGGCCAAGTGCTCACTACAGGTCAGCAATGGCTGCTGGTGCTGGGAGGGGCAGGTGTTACCAGTCTAGGCAGGGGTATAGACTCACAAGTATCATGGTAAGGGTGCCCATGGGGGGTGGCAAGGCTTTCATGGGGCTGTCTTGAAGTTTAGGTGTGAGCACTATTGGACACAGGGGCAAAAAAAATCTATAGTAAAGTCACTAACAAAGAAGGGGCTGAAGACACTTGGTAACTGAGAATGACTCTTCTAGCAGCTATATGCAAGACTGATTAGAGAGGTCAAGGCCCAGACAGGACACCTGCTAGAAGGTTTGCAGGCACCCATCATGGAGCAACCAAAGTAGGAGGCCAGGATTTAATAGGTGGCCTGTACACTAACAAGTCTGTCATTGGTTTATTGTGCTCATAGGTCTTTATTGTCTTTTCTTTGCAAATCCTGCAGCTTTGACTAACTAATAAATATCCCCTGGTGGTTGGGCTGCCCTGAGGATCATGCCCATCCTGTTCATGTGTAAGAGGACTCCTAAAAGAGAGATTAGAGATCCAATTAAAAATTAAAAATGTAGCAACTGCTAGTTTGTGTCAATAATAGGGCTTGGACTCAGGGCCTAGACACTGTCCCTTAGCTTTTCGTTAAGGCTAGTCCTCTGGCACTTGAGTTACAGCTCCAGTTCTGCCTTTTTGCTGGTTCATTGCAGATAGGAGTCCCACGGACTTTTCTGACCAGGCTAGCTTTGAATCACATTCTCCCATCTCAGCCTCCCGAGTAACTAGGATTAGGTGTGAGCCACTGGAGCTCAGCAATGTCTCCTTCTAAGGCTGATAATTTGGTTTACTGCTTTCTTTCTCTTCTTCTTGTTTTGGTAAGTTTCTTTTTATGTCCTTGTGGGTTTCGTTATCTTAGGACCCATTGGTGTGTGTGCTGCGAATGTCATTGATCATTGATTTTCCAGCTTCAGTGACCTCTCCTCAGGTGGGAGCTACAACAGAGGCAGAGGTAAATTGGACATGCCTCCAGCTCTCTTGTGGCGTGGAGCATCGTCACGGAGATAAGACATGCATGCGACTCACCAAGCAGGAAGTGATGAGCGAGAAAGCCGCACTGGTGATTCAGGACTGTGGGAGTAGAGAGGAGGGAGAAAACGTTTCTAAACCTATTCACAATTTTAGAATGTCACAAATTCACGTACTAATCCCATGCTATTTTTTGCAATAGAGAATTGGGGGAAGGGGAGAACAGGTCCATGTTTTTCTTTAAGGGCTACGAAAGGAAACCAAGTTTTTCTTTGAGTTTAAGAGCAAATGCTTTAGTTATTATCTTCAGGGAGTGGACCATAGTTTCCATTTTTAATATAAAAAATAAATTAGAGATAAGAAAGAGTATATGACTTGGTAAAAATGGTGGATTAAATACTCATGATTACTCTTTGTGTGTGTGCAATCCTGGGGCTTGAACTCAGAGAATGGGTGCTGTCCATGAGTTGTTTTGCTCAAGGTTAGTGCTCTACCACTTGAGCCACAGCTCTACTTCTGGCTTTTTGGTGCTTCATTGGAGATGAGACTCTTACAGATTTTCCTGCCCAGGCTGGTTTTGAAGTGTGATCCTCAGATTTCAGTCTTCCTGAGTAGCTAGGATTATAGGTGTGAAACACTAGTACCTGGCTTCATCCTTACTTTGCTCCCTTAAAACTGCTACTTTTAAGCCAAGCACCAGTCGCTCATGCCTATAATCCTAGCAACTCAGGAGGCTGAGATCTGAGGATTGCAATTTGAAGCCAGCCCAGGAAGAAAAGTCCCTATAAGACTCTTATCTCCAATTAACCACTTAAAAACCAGGACTGAAGCTATGGCTCAAAGAGGTAGAGTGCTAGCCTTGAGCAAAAGAGCTCAGGAAGAGCACCCAGGCCCTAAGTTTAAGCCCCACAACCAACAAAAACAAAAACAAACCCTCCTATAACCAAGCAGCCAGAAATCCCCAGATATCCAAGGAAAATCTAACATTAGTGACACAGACCAAAATCAGACAATTAAACACCGACCGAAAAACGAATAGGGATCATCTATAGACTATTCACTGGGAAGAATTTAGGGAAAAATCCTATAATTAATGTTGTAAGAAAGGAAAAATAAGATGTTGGAACCATGAAGCAAGAATGGAATTTTATACAAAGAAAAGTCTCCTTAGTGGGGCTAGAAGATAATTAAAAATTATCCCCCAAAAAGCAAAAAAGGAGAGAATAAAAATGGAAAGTACACTGGGAATGTTAGTGGTAGAGTACTTACCTAGCATGCAAAAAGCCCTGGGTTCCATTCCTTAGTACCACATAAACAGAAAAAGCAAGAAGTGGCACTGCGGCTCAAGTGTTAGCTTTGAGCAAAAGAGTTTAGGGACAGAGCCCAGGCCCTGAGTTCAATCCCCAGGACTGGCAAAAAGAAAAAAAAGAAAAATATGAGAAAATTAGTGGATAGTCTACTGATTTGAATAACAATATTTTTAGGAAGAAAAAACTAGAAGCTGAGCACCAGTGGCTCCTTTTTTTTTTTTTTGCTTAGCTACTCAGGAAGTTGAGATCAAATTTTGAGGCCAGCCTAAGCAGCAAAGTCCATGAGACTAAATAGCCTTAAAAAAAATCTGGGCTGTCATGTGCTAGTAGCTTACACCTGTAATCCTAGCTATTCAGGAGGCTGAGATCTGAGGATCATGGTTCAAAGCCAGCCCAAGCAGGAAAGTCTGTAAGATTCTCATCTCCAATTAACCATCAAAAAGTGGAAAGTAGCCAGGCAGCTACTCAGGAGGCCGAGATCTGAGGATCATGGTTCAAAGCCAGCCCACGCAAGAAAGTCTGTGAGACTCTTATCTCCAATAAACCACCAGAAAACCAGAAGTGGCATTGTGGCTCCAGTGGTAGAGTGCTCACTTTTAGCTGAAGAGCTGAGGGACAGCCCCCAGGCCCAGAGTTAAAATCCCACAACTGACCAAAAAAAAAAAAAATGTGGAAAGTATATCTGTGGCTCAAGTAGTTGAATGCTAGCCTTGAGCAAAGAAACTCAGGGACAGCACCAAGGCCCTGAGTTCAAGCCTCCAAAATATAATACAATAACTGGAGGGAAAGCAAAGAGGAGGAGGAAGAAGAGCAAAAGAAGAAAACAAACAATTCCCCAGAACTGAAAAGCTTGGGTTTCTAAAACAAATACCCACAATCCACACAGCACAGTGGATGAATATAAGAAATTAAGGTACATTATTGTGGAAGTTCCCGACACCAGAGAGAAAGAAGAACCTTCCAGAGGGAGAGGGGGTAGGGAAAGGGATAGGGGACAGAGGCAGGACAGGGAAGCAAGGTCAAATATAACAGTTAGAAATTAGAATGACTGGGCTGGGAAGGTGGCTCAGTGGTATAGCACTTGCCTTGCATGTCTGAGGCCCTGGGTTCGATTCCTCAGCACCACATAAGCACAAAGAAAAAAGCCGGAAGTAGTGCTGTGGCTCAGCACTAGCCTTGAGCTGAAGAGCTGAGGGACAGCGCCCGGGCCCAGAGTTCAGGCCCCATGACCGGACCCCCCCCCAAAATAAAGAAATTAGAATGACTTCAGACTTTTCCATTGCAACACTAGAAGCTAGAAAACTATGGAACGAAGCCTTCAAAATTCTAAGGAAAATCCTTTCCAAATCAGAATGCCAACTGACAGAGATGAGAATCCAGAAGCAGCTTGATTAAGTCTGAGGGTGGAATGAAGACATTTTAGGGGACACAAGGCTCTTGTAGGTCTGTTTGCTTCTTGAGTAACCTCCCTCAAGAAGCCAGCTCAGGGAGTGCTCACCAGGGCCAACAGGTAAACCAAGGCAGAGAAAGACAAGGGAAGGATAACATCCAGCAGGATAGAGAAGGCCAGGGTGCTGGAACAGGAAGTTCTTGGGGGACAGCTGTGATGCAGGCATGGAGAACAGCCAGTCCAGACTGGAGCAGGTGGGAAGGCTCTGGGGGATAGACAAGCTGACGTACCTGAACTTTCTGAGAAGACATTTAGACAGCTGCCAGAATTTGGGATTGAATTAGTGATAAATACATAGAAAACTAAGCAAATGAACAAACATGTTAATTAACTCTTGAAAAAAAATGACAAGTTCTACAGGAAAAGTTATCATATTTTACTACAAGGCTCAACTATGAATAGAGTCAAATTAGTGTTGCTTCAGTAAAGTAAACACTGATTACTAATTTAACCACAATTAGGATGCAATTATAAAAGTATGGGGGACAGGAAGAGTTGAAAGGAAGGGAGGGAGCTAACAGCTCATATTCCACACGTGAAGTGAACAAACATTTAAAACATGTAACATTTAGTTAAGTTACGAGGCATGAAGAAAAAACAAGCATCCACAAGGGCTCCATCCAATGCCATACATTACATCTGCCTGTGTGTTCTCACCATTCCTGCCCCCCACCTACCTCAGGTAAATGTTATCCTGAATTTCATGTTGATCACATCCTTTTCCCCACAAAGCTTCCGTACAAGTAGGATTACCTAAACTGAGTCTCACATCTTGCCTGTTTCTTTGGTTTCATTTGGTTGAGACAGGGTCTCACACTATAGCCCAGAATTAGATTCTGCTGTCTCTGTCTCCTGAGTGCTGGGATTTCAGGCATATGTCACCAGGTCAGGTTCCTTCTACTTGTTTTCTGAACCTTATAAAACAAAAGTGACACCAACTACCAGAATGTGGCAGGCAGCCACTAAAATGACCCCTAATATTTCCTTCCTCCTGAGGTATTCACAAATCTTTGCGATCCTTTCCTTTTGAGGTTGAGCTGGACTTAGTATATTTTCCTGATGAATCAAATGTGGCAGAAGCAATCGATTTGTACTTCAAAAGTTAGGTTAGATTGTGGCTTTGGCCTTGGGCTCTCTCTCCTTTGCTCTCTTTTGGATTGCTCTTCCTAAGAGAAGCTACCACCATGTCTCAACGCAAGCAAGAGAAGAGGCCCACAGAGCAAGGGACCACAGCCTGCCAACAACCATCAGTGCACTTGGAAGCAGAAACTCTAAGCCAAGCAATGAGATCCAAGAGAGGAGAAAGCAAGCCCTGGCATACAGCCCCCATCATCTCCTGAGAAACATTGACCATTTAAATTGTCCTGGAATTCTTGACCCATAGCAACTGTGAGATACTAAATATCTATGGTGGTAAGCTGCTAAGTTTGGGGGAATTTGTTATGCAACAATGTATAACTAATATAGTGAGCTCTTTCAAAAAAGTCTCTGTAGGTATATAACTAACAATGGATTTAATGCTTTGTAGGGTATGGGCCTATGTGACTCCATTAAAAAACTGTCATCCAAGATGTCAGTAACAGTATTCTACCAGAGGGGGTTAATGTCAACAAGAGTGTTGCTCCCAACTTTTCATCAATAATCCCTCTCATCTTAAATTCTTGCCAATCTTGTGAGTGAACTAGTCTTACCATGTTTGTCATCTGTGGAGTATCATTGACAACTTTTGTCCATTTTTCAATTGGTTTGTTTTTGTCTTTCCCTTATTGATTCCAGTTCTGGAATCAATATAATCTGGCCAATTGTACATTATCTTTTTATTATCTTTATAGTATTTCTGATAAATACAAGTTTTAAATTTCACTGGAGTTGTCATCTCTTTCATAATAATTAGTAACTTGAATGATCTTTAAAGAAATCCTTCCCTGTTTAACATTGTGAGACTTTCTTTAAGATGTTTTACAGTGTTATCTTTTAGTGGGGCATGATAATGCATGCCTCTCATCCCAGTACTTGGGAGGAGGCTAAGGCAAGAAGATCATGAGCTGGAGGCCAGTCTGCGCTATATAGTGAGACCCTGACTCTTGAGAACTATAACAAAAAATGTTCTTTTTTCACTTAAGTATGATATCATTTTTATGAAGCTGAAAAATCTTCGTTTTGTGTATGGCATGAGATTGGGGTGCAGCTCCAGTTGTTCACATGGATAACCAATGGTCTCAGCTCCATTTAATGTTAGCCTTCTAACTTCCATCTACTCCCCTCCCCCACTGACTTTCAACTCTGCCTTACAGATATTCTATGTGGAATTCATATATTTCTCAGTTCCTCATTCTATTCAA